CTATTGGCCGGGCGGCGAGGCCGGCCTTGGCTGACGTTCAGATCAATCAGAAGGGAGATACGCTACATGCGATTTACGTCACTGCACCGTTTATTTAACGAAGGCGACAGTTGGGCTCTGCCCAAGCGCGGCCCTGAGAAGGGAGCGCGTGCTGAACACGAGCAACCGACCGCGAGGCGGTACCTGCAGGCGTGGTGCGGCAGCCTGGGGGTCCCACAGACAGACAGACAGACACGCGTACACCCCAGTGCAGAGCTGGAAGCAGGAGCAATAAACCCTGAATTAACATGGATTGTCCAGCAAAGTTTACGCTATTAATTCCAGTCACAGCGAGCAAAAGAAAAGCGAGTTGTTACTACATCATCAGAACACGAGCATCTGAGTCAGCTGGTTCTACACTAGTGTATGACAAACGGTATGAAAAGAGTAATTGCAATGCAAAAGATAATGCAACAGTCCAATAGCCATCAGACTGGACTTAGTAATATATACACCGCACTCGGTGAAACGGCGTATCTTTCATCTCTTCCCTATGATCCCTGGCATAGTCCCAAAGATGATAATCGAGTAAAACCGCGTTGATCTTCTCACGCATGTCCTGACCCTTCTTCTCATAGAGCTCCAGCAGGTGCTTACAAATCAATGCGCAGCACCAAATAGAACAGCCACGGATCTCCACCTCCTCTCTATCTCCAGACTGGAAAATTGTTCCTGCCAGACAAGACAGACAGCGATCCAATTACGTTCAAGGAGAGACAGAAGTGTCAGGATGCCTTCAATTTCATTTTTTTCTCCCTCAACATTTACTCTCTTCTAGGACCACAGTTTTCATGACTTACGCTACAACTGCTAACAATGTTGTTATACGTTTTCTAATGACTGCTTTAATTTTACCACATGTGCTTGTAAGTTTACCTCCCATTCAATTAAAACAACATCCTATATTCTAAGAGAGTGGTTTAAGGAAAGAACAGGTGTTCGGGTTATACTGTGCACTATGTGACTATTTCTTTGCTTGTGGAGACAGAAAGGATTGTCAAACAACTCTGAGATGGTATATTTTCTGCCAGCATAACTCAGATTTAAAAATTAAAAAAATAACCCACCCCAAAAAAAACCAAACAGAAGACACCACACACCACCAAAAAAACCCCAAACCCACATATACAAGCATTCAAACAAATGTGTCCCTTTATATATAAAGCCATTTGAATGACTTGGATGAGAATGTCCTTGTTAGGATCCATGGAAAAGATAAATTGTCTACATTATTTATTTAATATATAGATATATGGGCATATATATATATATATACACATACAGCCATATTTTACTAAGATCCATGGACGACTGCATTTATCTGTTTATCTTGCTGTGTAATTTTAAAATTGCATAAAAACAATCCTACCTTTAAATACAGCCATTTTACAGGGGTGAAGGGATTGGTTTATGTTTCTATCCACTGAAGTTCATAGTTAATACAAACCAGAAGATGGAACCATGCTTAAAAACGAGACTCTAGTCTGATGCCATTAACTTCTTCTAAAACAATTTTTTTTTTTAAATGGACACTTACATTACCTTGCTTGCCACTAGCAGTTCAGTACAGATAAAGAGGAATCCCCATGCTTTTACATAATCTTGGAACTAATGAAGAAATTGTTGCTTCTTTTATCTAAGCCTCAAAAATCACAACTATACTGATGCTGGAAAGTGGTTTTGGCAACAGCAGCCCTTCAGAAACTCGGAGACCGACTGGCTTAGAGTCTCTTTAATCCTTCCCTTATCAGTGTTTAATCCAAGGAACAGTTAGATCTTTATAAAAATGCAACCTTAAGATCTCATTCGAGGTCGTTGTTAAGGTCCTTCCTGCTATGTCATTGCTACATATGAAATTCCTGTTCCCTGGGGAAAAGAAAACCAAAAAACCAAGCCAAAAAACAAAACAAAGAAAAAACCCACCGCACATAACCATTACACGGACAAAACATAAAGTTTTAAAAGTGGTTTTCATCTACAGTGTCAAGAGGTAAGATCACTTGATATTAGTAAGGGAGGAACAAACCTTCACGTAGTTTCTTCATTAGCTCTTCAGAATACTTCATTGCTTTTAAGTGAACAAGAACTTGAGGAATTCTGTAGTCAGCAAATATAGTCAGACTAGAAATGTCACCAAAAGAGCCATCTCCTTTGCCTTCTAATACACTCCATGTATCAGCCACAAGTATTTGTGCCCGTTTGTAGAAAGACACCTTTTTTTTCTGGTGAAAGAAATTTACAAATTATTGAAGTGCCTGAAATGTCAATAAATACAGCAAATTACACGTACAGAGAGAGACAGATAAGAGTTACATTGTTCTATGAAACATAAAACTATCACTTGGTTAAGCAAACATATTAGTTAGCTAAAACAGAATAAAAGTGCAACATTCGTAAAATACCTTAAAATCTAAACAATATTGAACAACAAACAAGTATCATGTGGAATGCTCGTAAGTAAAAACAGTAAAAGTCACTGCCGTGGAATAAAAACTGTTTAGACTCCATGTGGGTCTCAGAACACGAGTGTTGGTTTACTTCCACTTGGCAAACATGGTAGCTGAAGTCCAGCAAACTCATCCTTTCAGAAACCCTGGAGTTCATCCAGTCTCTTATTTCAAGGAGAGAGGTGTAAAAGGCATGTATTAGATTAGACAATTAAAACATTTATTTAATCAATTTACGTGTAATGTTAAGGAAAGAGAATTCTAGTGAAAACTTTAATGAATGCTCCCGTGTTGTGTAGTGTATCTTGCTAGAGGAGAGAGGAAAATTAATTGCAGTAGAACGCGTATACAAGATTCTCTTAGATACTATGCATGGTTCTATTTTTGTCATAAACTTCCGTGCAGGTGCTAATCCTACAAAGATTTACACGCTTTTGTGACTACTCACAAGGGGAAAAACTAAAGATATGCTACAATCTGTATGCTGTTAAGGTTTTCACTCTATGATGAACACATTGTGTGAACGTAAATCTGCATCTTTAAGAAAAAAGGTATTTGTGGGTTATGGTTTTTCCCTCCCTTCATAGCTAGACGAGATTTTCAACTTTTAACAACATGTGCTAAACACCATGTAACTGGAATGGTTAATCTGAAACACAAGCAGGCAGGGATTCAACTTATTTCCAGTTTTATTCTGCCACCTTTCATATCACCACAATTTACAAAGAGCATTTTTAAGCTAATTTAATTTTAATCATTTTAACAAGATGCTACTATTGCTGAGAGCAAAGCATGCTTTTGTCATTAAATGCTCTTCTCTAAAAACACTGAGAACAAGATGTCCAACCACATTTCACAGAACAACTTCTGCAAGCATCCTGAAAACTCCCTCCTTCCCCTGTGCTTCTTTCTATACTTGATACAGATGCACAAACTTACTTCTAGAGAACATACACAATTTTGTATGTTAAATAATAAAACACCAACTGAAACATCAGAGCAGGAAGCAAATAACTAATAGACCAAATCCCACCATAGCTCCTACTGCCCCAAAGCTAATGGAAACAAAGGGCATTGCTCTTTTACAGCATGAAGATTTTTCCAACATAGTAAAGAATTTATCGTCTCCAGCACCATGCCGTTTTGCAAGAGCAGAGGAAGAGAGAATTCAAATGGAACTTCTCATCTCCTGCCGCAATTTGATTCGGAAGAAAAATACTGTCTGGGACTTGTCATTGAGCAGATGAATTTGTAATTTCATTGTTTCAAATACTGTTAAATTTTATACTGCACGGAGCTTCTGAAGTTTATGTAAAATCCTCAATATGAAAAAGACTATTAAGCATTCCTATTAAACCTTCCCACCCTTCTTTTCAAAAGAAAGCAAGGAAAGCATTAGGTGGATGATACTATGTCTCAAGGATAGCATCATTTGTCCAAAAAATGGCACATTTTACCAGATGGCAATCAACTACATTTCTTTTTTCTGCAACACCCTCACTTTCCAGGAAAAGCTACCACATATAGGGACACTTGCGTCTCCTCTCCACTACAATGAGCCAGTATCAAGAGACATAACTAATTATGACCTGATATTAAAAGAAAGAAGGTGTATTGTGTTGGCAAAGAGCAAAATGTGATAGCACAGCTAGTAAAAAAAGCAAAGAATAGGAGGATGACAAGAATTTTACAATCTCGGTCCCAGGTGATCGGAAATAAAAGATAAATACAGGCAGCATCAACACCTGCAAGCTCAGACAGGACTCCCCCGTGTCTATGTCAGAACACAAAAACCCTGATACGTGAGTATAACATAGCCTAATATTTAAACTTCTGTCAGGATTCAAATTCAGCGCAGCCTCTGAATATGTACTATCCACCCAAGGACAAAAAGGTTTCAGGGATTTTGGTTTTGATTTGCAATTATTCACTTTTCAGAAGCAAAAGAACATTGGCAGCTTCCGTAACTACACTCAGTAATGTGTAATTACGAAAAAGTATTTTGTGTGTTTGGAAAAATATATAGCCAAAGAATTGTGTTAATTTTGGAAACTCCTCTAGAAGGTCAGAACACAGCTGTAGTAGGCGGCGATAGTATGATGTAGAATTTATTTTATAATCATATGTATTTCTATTATGGAGAGTCACTGGAAAGCACTGGTTTGCTATTGGATATCTCACCATCTATTCAGTTCCCTCCTAACCCTTATCGAAAGCAAAGTCTTACTTGTGAGTGCTCAACCTGCTGCATCATAAATGATGTTGATATTGTGGTCCACGTCACCTTGCATTAGGTGCTAACACTGTTTTGTTTTAGTGGTTTTGGGTTTTGGTTTGGGTTTTTTTTGTTGGTTTTTTGGGTTGTTTTGGGTTTTTTTAAGAAACCAAGAAGAATGTAAAATTTGGTCTACATTATTTCACCCACCTTCGAAATACACATATGGCTTAGTGAAAGCAGAAAAACAGCTTCCATATGCATGCAACAGGCTTTACTACTATGTCAGTGCTTACAGTCTGGGATCATTTTTGGAACATCTTTTCATTCTGTAGTCTGCTGCTGCTTTTAGGGAGGCTTGCTTTATAAAGCACTCAGCATCATCTCATGAAAGACATTATGTCAATGAATACAGTCACTATAAACATAAGAAAATACTCTTATCATTTTACTTGGAAAATATTTCCTTTTTGATCATAAAAGTAATAAAAAAATTACTTTACACATAAAAAGTCCTAATAAATTAACCAGGTCGCTTCAAAGATTTGTTAGAAAGAACCTCTGACTTTTCATGTAAACATATCTTATTTATATCAGGAGACGAAGGAAAATAAAATCACCTGCTGAAGGGCAGATTTACCTGATAAATGCAATAGGCTCAAAATTCCAGTCACTGGTGTGTGTCACTGGGAGTTACTTCAAAAGACTGCACAGACGACTAGTACAGCCTGCGCTGACAGTAGAACAAGGTCTTTTGAATGTAACGATGTAACAGCTGAATACTACTGCACATGGAACTGAGCACAGGAGCAACTACCTATGTCACTGATGCTAAATAAAGATTGTGCCTGCTTAGGCAAAACCAGAGACACAGAAAATACCAGATAAGTCTCTGTTTACTTCCCATCCGTTTCTTTCAGGAAAACGGCTCCAAAAAGCTTCAGTATGCTGTCAACCCTGCCAAAAGTATGGGTTAATTCTGGCCTGTGGTCATTTGTGCAATGCCTGTTGAATCAGCAACAGTTGTAAGTGGATTGCCAGTGGCTGTACGTTGTCACAATTCAACCAGAGTTTCATTTCCTTCATTAGCTGCAGAGATCCTCAAGGTTAAAGAAGAGAAACTGGGAGGAGTGTGGCTGT